GTTCACCACGAAATTCACAACTGTAGTGGTATCTGTTTTTTGAAATCTCAAAATTACAGAATCTTTAATTCAATTTATTCGAATTATTCTCAAATTCAATTCATTCGACCTTTAAAAATTGTCGGTTGAAAGATTGAACGGCGTTAACATGTGGTAGGAATCTCAAGTAACGTAGTTACAATTTAACATTTGTCCCTGACAGGGAGGCAATTCGCAGTGCTCTGATGTTTGACAAATTAACGTTCTGATACAATCAAAATATTTTGTGTACTTACCAAACGCTAGTCAGAGGTGAGTTGTGTACTAATTATAGCTAATCGAGACAAAATTAATTGTATTTATTGAAATTTCTCTTTAGTCTTCTATACATGCTCTAGAATTTGGTAACATTTATTCTAAGACATCTAAATAACTGATTGTTGCTGCAAATCCTCATTCGAAATTAGAGATATACTTTCCTGCAACACTCAATCATTAAGAATACTATGTCGTAAACCCTGCCAGTTTCTAAGCGACGTAGTGTTTTGAACATAAAAAATATAATTTGAAATTAAATTGTATCTCTGATCTCGGCTTAGAATGTTCAATACAATGAATTATATTGTAAGGCATGGACATATTTTTTTTTAAAAATTGGCCATTTTACAGGAAAAATAGGATTGTTGTTGGAAGTATCTGTTATATAACGGCCGGATCAGTACCATTCCCTCAGTAATATACTTCACCACCACTCTATCTATAATACGTTAAGTCATAGGTAGTGTAATTTCCATGGTACTCATTTCATCATTGTTTGACCATAATCATGATTCAGTATATCATATCTTCATCATTAGTACTTATCCATTAAATCATTCTGCGCCCCAGGTCATACTACTCGATCTTAAGTACTACTCGATCTTAAGTACTGAAATAATAAAGATATGCAATTCTTTAAGCCGTTCAGATGGTGCAGGGACTTAAGTGCCCAACTCGTACATGTGTATACCAAACCTGTGAGTCTGAATCCCAGAAAAGGCTGTTCCACATTTTCGGTATTCGCCGAGTCGTGAGCGCCTCCTCGTTCAATCCCGAGCAGCAGCTGATGTGACAGGCGAATGTTAGCATCCTTTTATGTGTCCAAAAGACCGTCACGCAGCGGGTAGTGCGAGCACCGATTGTTCGACTCTTGGCAAATGGTACGCACCTCATCCACTACACAAATACTCGCAATATGGCAAACAGTCGCTCGCTACTCGCCGAATATCGAATGTGTGGAACCGCCTTAAGGTGCGGATGATTTCAGTTATTTTGTGGCTTGTGATCATTCCCAGATCCACCCCTGATCCTGAACCCTTTCTCAAATTTCCTTGATCAGTAAGAGCAAGTAATGTGAAATTGTTCGTGTTGTGTGCGAAGTAATGTTTCCGGGCTACCGCACTGAAACTAGCTGGCATCTTACTCACACTCTTTATCCTCTGTTGGTAGTGTAAAAGCACCTTTACATAAAACCGATCTAAGTGCCAAAGTGGATTCACGAGATACATCGGCATGATAGTTGGGGGAGATGAGGAGAAGTAACCTTTAGGGTTCTTTTAGAAATTAGATTCACTCAGGTGATGACGTCCTCCGAGACTCAGACGGTACGGAAAGACGAAAAAGAGGGGTTGCTACTACACTACAATTGTTTTAAATGTATTCATTAAGTCTGTATATATTGTGCGAGGGCGATATGCAAGCAAATATAAAGTACGAGCATGGCCGGTCTGTTTCCATCATAGGAACACTATTGACCCCATTTTAATTGTCCTTTCTCTTTCCAGATTCTTAACAGTTCTCTTCCTCTATATGTATACATACGTCTTCCCATACGACATAATTTATGTGTTGTTCAGGTTAAATAAATAAGGTAATTCGAAAATATCAGTAAATGAGGAAGTTATTTGGTATATAAGACTATTTACTAATTGTTATTCTCGTTAGGCCTTGTAGAACTGTTATTATATATGCCTAAAAAAATCTAAATACATTCTAATACCAATGCAGGAATATTGATGCACTCCACGGGCAGCGCCTGTTATGTAGGCTAATCCGCAACACACAGCTGCAGTGCGTGAAACTGATCTTTTGGCAATTTGCATTTTATGTTAGGAAATTGTTTTACAATGTAAATTTACAATTTGTTCTCCTGAAAGATGTAGCAAAGTATTTGGTTACATCAAGTACAGGCTATTACTGAGTCGAATAATAGATAATCCATATTAACGCTTTGGAAATTTTAGGAGCTACTATTAAAATAAAATCTGTATTTGCAAATAAATTAATAAAAAGAGAACACATTAAAAATTGCCCATTTTTTTAAGTAAGGCACATACTCAAAAGTGACAATTGACAGCTGAATTTTAGAAAATAAATTTAGCATTGTAGAACAAGAATTTTGAGAAAACTAATAATATTTTTTTTAATGTGGCACGTCTGGTGTTTTCACCATGTGAGTGAATAAATATTTCAGAGATATTGCGGTTTCGGGGAGAGGATGGAGGTGTTTGACACTATGTCAACCGAACTATACTGAAAAATGCAGTGTAGACAGACTTAAACTTGTTCAAACAAGATTATTCTGTGAATTATTTTTGAGTTGCTCTGAAATGCTTGAAAAAACCTGTGTCCAAAGATGAAAACACAAAAATAAAGACTGATAATAATCAATGGCAGAAAAAGTGACTTTTAAAATTTCACATTTTTAGGTGTGCATGATTGCAGTTGTATTAAACACAAAAACACGCTGTTTCAACATATATTCGACCTATAGAATTTGATAAATTTGAAGTCGTAAATTAATTTAAATTTTCCATGTTTCATATTTCCTCCTTTTAAAAATACATCTGCATTTCTGTGCATTATTTCAAATTGATTCCTGTCTTTACTCTTAAATGTGTCCTACAATCACCGAACAATTTCAATCACAAAAAATGGTATCATACCAAATTATATCCATATTTTAATATAATCTAATACTTATCTTATTTTTTGGCTTTGCTACCCAAGTTCATAATAAAACTGCGAATAAATTTTAAATATTATACCGTGTACTGACTTGTTCATTCTCGGGTAGGAAAAATGCGTTTTTCTGTTAATTCATCCAGAAGAATCGGTGAACAATTAAGCCAATCGATGAATTTTGTTGAAAGGAATCGAATTAACTTTCGACCATCTCTGAAAGTGCATTATAATCGCCTCCCTGAAAACGCGTTTTAGGTACTAAAACCTTCTTAAAACGTTGTTTCCTATATTTATTTTAGAATGTTCTGGAAAGATCAAAACGATCAGTTTCCTACCAGTAGACCAGTGAGATGAGTCGATTGGCACTTCCCTCAAGGAGGAAACCACAAACACGCGGAGGTTATGCAATTATAACTATATGTAGGATTTTATTTCACGTATAGATTAATAAACAAACTGTAAGAAATTTTCCCGAACCCATTCTGGCACCCATTTCATTCCGCTACTCGGAGAGCAGAGGAGGCTGGACGTTTGCCACCCACTCGCACTCGCGTCCGCCATTAGCAGAGAACGCGCCCGAGCGCCCGCGACAAACACGCGAGAGGCAGGCGCGGACGGAGGCGTTCGGGCGAGAGCGCGGGCGCGGGCGGATGGATGGGCGTGGGCGAGCGCTGGGAATGCCAGGGCATTTCATAGCATATTCGCTATGTGCGTGTATGCCTTGAGAGATGTAATTGTTATAAAACCTCTCTACAAGAAAAACATTGAAGGGGTTGCATGTTTGTAAAATAAATCTAGAAAATGTGTATGAAATATTTTAATTATCATGATTTCATTTGTCATCATTGGTAAAGGGAACTGTTTATTTAAGTGAGGGTATTGGTTAAAACAAAACAGTTTTCAAATGCAGTTCTTTTGCTGCGAGACTTCTTGATTTGGAGAACTTTATTTTATATACACATTTTCTCGTATTTACTCTAAATTTTCGTTCAAAATGACCGGTTGTTGTATTGTTAATTGATTTTTTTTCATTTTATGCGATTGTCTGTAAATCTGCACAACTATTTTCATCTCAGTAATTATTCATGTCAATATTACGTTTATTGTTTTGGATTCAAAAACTGGGGCCGTTATTATTTATTCAATATTTGGTAGAAATGCAGCACTGAAAAAGAAATCGCACAGCTCGACAACGAGATCGAGCGGCGAACTTAAACATTTTATTATCATATCAATGACAAGCGGCCTTCAGCATCACCATCTGGGCCCTGCAACTCTCCATCAAAACCGGGGACAAAGCTCGAGGGTGCTACTATAGGAGGCATTACTGTTGCCGGGTGCAGCTTTAGGTTAGGTTCGCCAAATTTCCCACATACAAATTGGCTAATTTGCGAGAAATAGGAAAAGTGTCATCTAAATGTTCAATTACTCATAATCTATACTTATAAGAAACCTGTGAAGAAAGCGCGAACATTATCTTTTACGTTAGCACGTTACGAAAGCGCGGACGTTATCTTTTGTTACATTATGGGCCTGCTCGCGACCCGCGTACTCACGCAGAAGACACGCACGTTTAAAGTATCGTTGGCAGAATTTCGTGTTTTAGATTAGATTAGATTAGATTAAATGTATTAATAATTCTGCAATTAAGTCTGAAAACTTGGTGGCAGAATACACTAACTTAACATTACAGAAATTAACAACTTTATAAAATCTACAAATTTTACAAATTAACGTGGACATTTCACGGTGCAATCCAGTTTAGTTCCTGTAAAGGTGTTGCAGCAGAGCGCGCCACCGTAATGGTTTCCATCACGTTCTATGTGAGGTATATATATAGGGCCCTAGTCACCATCATCATAATCACCCACACCACTGGATCTTCTTTGCGAGTGACACAATTTGTCTTTAGAAATATCAGCCCATTTGCAGACCTATGCTTCTTGTAAGGGCCTCCTGCTCTCCTTGGTTTCTGTGAATGGCGAGAGAGGGGAACGCAGTTAGGAGCATTGTCGCCAATGCGCCCGCCTTCTGCGCAGGCCAACGGCAACGGCCACCGCCGCGCCAATTCGAAGCGCTGCCTGCGCCACGACTTCGCGGCGCAGAACAAGAGCCGCAGCGTGTTCCCGCACGCCAGAGGGCTGGCCGGCGCGTGCGCGCCAGAGGACGCCGCCGGGGCCCCCTCACAGATCCAGCCGCCGCCTCTGCGCCTCAAGGACATCCGCAAGTGAGATACACCAGATCCTTCCGACCAGCACCCTGCTCCCCCTTGCGGCACACGTACGGCAGCCTCGGTGAACCCGGAGTGACTCGGAATAAATGTTACAAACTTCTCTGACGTGTAGGAGGGTCCATTGAGGGGTTGGTGTTTGCGGGCACGTCAACTGCTGTAGTCATTCGTCCCACTAGTGTAGTGAATGTATTCCGGGAGGTGGCGGTGTCACCTTCCCCTCCGCTCGATGAGATCTGTCGGCGACTTACACGTCGGCTTCCTCCTCATAGAGGAGCGCCGCCCGGCGCGATACGAGCTCTAAGCTCCCATCTGCTTTAACGGGTGAGGATAGCACAAGGTTAAGGAAAGATCGCGCGCGGTTTCTGGCACGTTTGTAAAAGTATTGCTCCGCTATTCGCATGGTGTTGATCGGAGAAATCACGGAAAACTATCAGAATAGCTGCACGCTAGAATTCTCCTCAATACAACGACTGAATTCTACCTAGTGTCACAAATACGCCACTTTCGTGGAACGAATCCTAGGACTTCCCGTGTTGCTGCAGGCAGCGGCAATGTTGGCTCTCTGCCAAACTCAACTGGTAGTAGTATCGAGAATGATATTATTATCAACACTTACTGTCAATGAATATGTGGTAGGAAATATGTTATATCAGAGCTACACAGATTTCATTTTCCGTTTATGCGCAACAAACTCGTCTTGTCCTGGTGTTAGTCCTCAAATCTCTTTTCCGAACATCAGTGCACGATACGTTTCGAACCTGTCATAGAAAAACGTCACGTGTGCAACTTTGATATATATCTCACCACAGGTTCATTAGAAAAAGTGATCAAATACCCATCATTTACCTTCCTACACGCCAAAGAAGTTTGTAACATTCATTCTCAGAAAACATGAACTGTTGGTTCAGCCATGTGACCAATCCCATTTACGTAAAACTAAATTTTGGGGCGTAGTCGGTGAATAAATTTATAAATGATTGGAATTAATTTCCCAAAAGTAGGATAGCTTCTGCTTGAGTAACTTGCACCAAACACACTATTCTATTACAATGTCATTTGTTAACTAGAAAATGTTGAAATTAAAGCATTTCTTGAGTTCAAGAAAAATGAAATTTTAACTTATATTTTCAGAAATATGATGTAAATAAAATATTCTTTATGTCGGTTTTTAGCGATTTCAAATGAAAGCATAAAAAACAGCTCCAGCTCTTTGATTGTCGATAATTGTGTTGCTATTTCCTCTCGTTACTTCGTGTACCTTCCGTTTTCATGGCATCACTTTCACTTTCTGTATCGGAGATTTCATTTCATTATTTTCTCATACTTTTCGACATGAATAGTGCCAATGTTTTCAATATTATTTTCTTGGCGATAGCATAACACCGAAAATCACTTGTGAAAGCAATCTCTAACTTTTAACATCATTCACTGAACTGACGAGACATTATCACCTGGCGCTCCAGGCAATCTCATCTGGTTGGCGGAGGAATAGATGTCGCGGAGGCATTCCATGATGCTCAACTGTATTAGAATATGATTAAAAGATTGTCATTCGCTTAAAACGCGTGTATATTGCTCAGATTTTACAGTACAGTCAGTGTACATTAGACACCCTTGGCAGTTGATATCACGTCATAAATTGGAGAGCCAACATTTCGACCATTATATCTTGAAGCAGTATATCTCGTGAAGCAGTATTGTTTAAATTATGGTTGTGTTGCTAAAGGACTCATTGTCAAGAGCTGTAACGGTAGAAAGGAGAAAGTGAAAGAATTTTCGATGCGAAATGCCCTAAAAAGCCAAGAATTTCACGAGAGTGGCGGCAGAAGACGTCTGATTGTATCTCAGAATTTTGCGAATGTGAATAATCATTTCTCGTTTTTGTTTTATAGCATTTTTAAGTATTAATTATAAAAACATTAACTCATTAGTTTGTTGTGTGTACTTGAATGTATGTGTAACAATATTTATGCCTACAATTAGTAAAACATTTGGATGATGTGAGAAAAGCATTAAAAATATGTGATTTTAATTACACAGGGAAATGAAATGCCTTAACTTATCTCAGCCCTTCTGATATATTTCAATTCATACTTTATTGTGTGATTGCTTGTCAATAACATCACTCCATTGTCATCATCATCCCTTAATCATCTATTATTTCCACAAACGTGATTTAGTGCGTCTTTTAGTGAGGTAAAAAGCTTTATGTGCTATTATCATTATTGTGAATCTGGGAAAGGAGGCTCTGGTAGAGGCTGCAAACAGTTTTTCATTGAAAGCCACTCAGTGACCTGAAATCGCCTGTCTGCAAAGCCGAATCATTTGGGCCGAATATCCTTGCATCCTCTCACCCCCTGCCGCAGTGGTGGTGGGGGGGGGCGCTCGCCCAGCCCCCACATCCGCTTACCGCAAAACTCCATTATCCGCCAGGCGCGATTAGTATTACGTAAAGAGGACTGCGGTCCCCCCTCCCCCAACTCATCTCCCTCTTTCTCTTTGCAAGCCCCTCACGTCATCCGTTCACCCACCTTTCCCTTTGTATCCCTCTGCCATCCTCCGATCATCAAATAGGTTGCTATTTCCTCTCGTTACTTCTTTCTATACTTCCCCCTCTCTCATTCCACCATCCCTCTACTATTACTCGAGAGCTCTGTATCTTTATGACGTTCTCAGTAGTCTTTATTTCCTCTTTCTGTTACATTACATTGTTCCACTGGCCCAATTTCATGTGATTTTTGTACGATCTTCAATCTTTTTTCGTCTGTTGACCATGGAGTCTTAACTTGTCACCCTTCATACTAGGTTCTCTACTTCCCGTTTTGACAACCCCTGTTGCCACCGTTTTCTGTTCACCTTCATACTATTGAAGAATTCTTGATATTTATCTTTTTCAATTTATTTCTCTTCACCGGCACCCTTAATTTTATGTTCTTTATGTTCTCTTAATGAGAACCTCTGCAACCAACCCAATTATTTGTTTATCGTTCTACTTTTAAACATTGCTCATTACCATTCCTCATTTTTCTCCGTGCTACTTTCTTTTTCATTACTTACACTACGTGCTACTTCATTCATTACATCCTTCTGCGTCTCAACCTATTTTTACCGCTTTCTGTATCATTTCGATGTAATATATCTGAGCATTTCGTAGCGTCTCGTTTTCTCTTTTTCTCTTCTTCTGTCGGCCGATCACAGCTTGATCGTCATTCTGTCGCAACAGTTCCTTCCCTCCCTCAACGCCTCCTCCCCGCAGCGGCCGCAAATCTCCGCAGTCGAAAGCGAAATCCCCCGCTCGCCGCAGAGCGGATTGCCCGGCATTTGTCACAAAACTGCCTTTTTTCAGGAAACACGGATAACTCGTTCGCATCGGGCACAAACGAAATCCCTGCCTCTGCGGAGCAAAACTGATTAAAAAGTAATTATCAAATGAAATTTTATACGTTATTTCATTATACAAATCGGAAACAGTGGTTGTTGGTTTGCTGCGAAGTCGTAATCAAAGTATCACCTACGCAGAATAAATTAGCATAGTTTCGAAAAGTGTGCTGTAATATACGACGTGAAAAAAATAATGTTGACATTAATTTCACGTCATATTATACGTAGCTTTTTAATGTAATCTCATATACAAATGTTTTCAAAGTCATCTAAGGTCGTCCTTGTTTTGAAATATAATGAATGTCACATGCTATGTTAATTACATCTTTGCAACAACAAAAATTCTAGATTAGCAATTAAATCTTTTTATCAGTTTGTAGCAAGTACAATATGTTGAACTTTATACTGCTGTAATTTCCTTTCAAAAATAGCACTAGTTGTAATAAATCCCTTACAACTGATTAGTTTTCTATCTTTAAAAAAGTGCTCACGCATTCAGAATGATTGGATGAAGTAATTTACTCCGCGTAACGAACGCAGTAAAATTTTTAACCCGTATACAATCTAGTGGCAAATGCAAGCAAGTTTTTTGTGCTGTTAACTTTAAAAAATGTCAGGCATTATTCTAATCGCCTTACTTTATCGTTGTCAAGCGATTAGAATAATTGTATGGATAGAATTGCAATTACATTTTTTGAGCAATCACAATAAACCAATAATTTAATTTTGCATTTTTCTGTAATACTGCCATCGCTGCCATTCTTTATAATTTAGGTAATGGAGGCAAATTGCATTGAATAATGGCCATATATCTCCATTATTCCCACCCTCTGATTACTCACGACTAAACCTGCAACTAAACAAGTAACATTTCAATGTTACGTTTCGCCCAATCCATTGCAATGATGTAAATTCATAAGTGACGTATACACTTGGGTGCGCAGTGCGCATCAATATATTTGCTAACCAAATTGGAAAATTCCTTAATTAATCCAGGCATCATATGGTTGCACGCGTATGACATGCGTGCTTGTTCTTAATATCGTTTATAGTTTAAATACATGCTAATTTGTCGGAAATTAAATATACCTGAGTTTTATAAACCGTTTACTTTTCTAGTATAATAATGGAAATACAGGCTAACTAAGGATGCTATATTCCGAACACAGTCTTCCCCTCCACGTAGAGCAAAAGGTTTAAGTATTTTCACCAAAGCCGCAGAATTTTTGCCGAGATTCGATGATTTAGATCCGAACCAACACTTCGCTACGAGCAAATTGGTAAATCGCGAACAATGAAACAGACACCCTTGACATAAAACATGCTCCACTCTGCCCCGGCCGTCTCAGTCCACCCCCTGACCGCCCACTCACCGCTCCGCCTCCTGTTGCGTCCCGTCCTCACCGTCCGGTTCTGCCCACCCCAACCACTTCCGTCCATGTACTGGCCCAACCCTCCTCGCGTAGTTACCACCTGGCAGATAGTAAATTGCAGAAAATTACTCATTAAGTATGTGATATGTGTCTACACCCTCGTCAGTCAAAGGTTCGGGAGACTACGGCACAGGCATGGGGTCGGATCTGTGGGAAGCAGATCACAAAACCCTTACGCAA